TATATGATATTATAACTTCATGGAGATTCTTGAGTGTTTACTGATATGTTGAGTAACATAGGCTGCTATGGGACTTTGGATGGACTTATTGACACAGTCTCTGCAGTTCACTCTCTACTACCATTGCTTGGTCTGTTAAAGTCTCATGGAAAGCTCGTCTTGGTTGGTGCACCAGAAAATCCATTTGAATTACCAGCCTTTCCTTTGCTTATGGGTAAGCATTTGAGATTGCTTTAATAAATAGCAAAACATATGTTTTACCTAAGCAATAGAGGCATTCCATTCCACATTTAGGTTATTAGGCTGGTAGTGTTTTTGTTCTATACAAAGAAAGCAGAAAAATTATTGTTGGCTTAGATAGTGTAGCCCTGTACTTCATTTTATATATGTTGAAATGCGTATATATACATCCCTTTGATCCTTTCTACTGTTTAAATAAATAAATGTTAGCTAATATGGGATTCGGAATGACAGGGAGGAAAATAGTAGCGGGAAGTAACATTGGGGGTATGAAGGAGACACAAGAAATGATTGATTTTGCAGGAAAACACAACATAACTGCGGACATTGAGGTCATCCCAGTGGACTATGTGAACACTGCTATGGAGCGTCTTGCCAAAGCCGATGTTAAGTACCGATTTGTCATTGACATTGGAAACACACTGAAAGCTGCCTAGTCTTTACCCTTATGCTTCCTGAATTTAGTTTGATGTAGTGACATGGTCACCAATATGGGAGACTATTAAGTTGTCTACTGTCTTTATTTTTTTTTTGTAATGTCGGGCTTTTTGTTACCAATGTTGGAACATCTTTTCTACCGGTTACATCCTGTGTCTCCTAGCCCAACTTAATTTTTAAGTGCACTTTTGAAGATCTCAAATGCATTGCTACAAAATAGTTGACTTCACTGCTTGACATTATGTAAAGAGTGCATGAGAAGCATTACCCAAAAAGACAAAGTCTTCACTCCTTCGTAATCAAATTAACCATGCCTGCATCTGTAGGTAACAATGTCAATGTTTGGGGTTCCATTTTTTATGCTTGAATTCTAATTGTGATATTGTGGTTAGGGGTAGTGATAAGGGGTTTGTAGAGGTGGCATTGGTATCTACCAAGGTATTCTTGGTACTTAGAGCCCCAAATGTGCTGATATCATAAGATTCTATCAACAGTTTAATGGTTGATTTAACAGAATGGGGGTCTTATATATTGTTTGAAAAAATAGGAAAAGTTAGTGTAATTTTTAAATTACAAGTGGAGTCCCTGCAATTATGCAAAACTTCAAGGGAGGTAGATGTAATAATTTTATCTAAGGTAGTAGTACCCAAAAGTAACCACCACCCTCACTATCCAATTAAAAATCATTTTCAACATAATCTTCATTAAGTTCCTCACATATAAGAGTTGAATAATGAAAAAAAAAATAAATAAATAAAAAAAGTCATTTGGGAAGAAAGGTTTTGGCTAAAATAGTCAAATAAAAATAAAAATTTATTTTTTTAAAATATTTTTTCAAAAAAAATCTAAAAAAATTGAATTTTTTTTTTAAACTTTTCAAAATAGGCCAAAATAGGTTAAAATAGCTTACTAGAACAAAATATCACATTCAAATTATAATCATTTTATTCTTTCTCTCACAATCATTAAATGAACTAAAAAGAAAATCAATTATTTTCTCAAATACAATTTTTTTAACTAGACTAAAATAATAAAAAAGTCAATTAAGTTGCCATTTGGAAGCAACTTTTTTTGCCTAAAAAGACAAAATAGAATAAGGCCTCGTTTGGGAATATGTAATTTTAGTAACTTTTTTGCTTTTTAACTAAAATATGAGATAAAAAAAAAAACTAATATGTTTATAATGACTTTTTAAATTTTTACGAAAAGATATGCAAAAAGTAGAGAGAATGAAATCTTTGGTAGTGTTTGGTAGAGTTTTAGAATTATGATTTGAGAATAGAGTTGTATTTTGAGTTTGTGGGTTTTAGAATTATGATTTGAGTGCGAAAAATTTGTTTGGTTATGAGTTTTGAATTGAGTTTGAAATTTTTGATGTGACATATGATATTTAATTCAATTCAAAAACTTACAATTCATAATTACCAAACACACAACTCAAAATTATATTCAAAACTCATAAAAAATTTTAAAAAATTCCGAAAATATTTTTTATTTAAAATACAAAAAACAACATATGCCAATTTTCCAAAAAAAAAAAGAAAAAAAGAAAAGAGCATCGTTCCGATCAATCGGCCGGATGACCGGGTAGGCCAAATTTCAAAATTCAAAACCCCGCTTGAAACAAGTTTGCAAAAGTGGGTGTAGAATTAATTTTTGAAAGTTGTATCCAAACACCGCACTCAAATATGAGTGTGGAATCATGATTAGAACTGCATACCAAACACAACCTTTGAGTTTTTAGTATAAGTTATAGGTTCTTTGGTTTTTTTAGTAACTTTTTGACTTTTAGGTTAAAAGTGTTGCATGCCAAACGAGGCCTAAATAGCCAATAAAATAAAATGTTACGTCTGAATCATAATTATTTCACTTTATCTCTCACAATCATCACATCCAAACCCAAAAAAAAATTCATAATTTCTTCCCAAACGAAGCTAATTTAGCCAAGTTAAATTAGCAAAAAAAATCAGACTAAATTAGCCAACTTCCCAAACCAGTCTAACAATTGATCTATCTATTATTTACAACAATTTCACTGACTTTCAAAATATTTTGCAAATATTCAAAGCCATTGACAGAGTGGCTGCATTTGTAGTTGAGACCTGAGATGCAACACCAATTTGATTACATCTTTATTTTATCCATCTATCCACACACATTGTTTAAGAAGTC